AAAGATGTTGAGAAATTGTGGTTGCCCATTTGTTCTTGACAGGAGGAAAAGTGTTGGCCACACAAGCTGCCAATCTATCGCACTTTACAGTTTGCTAGAAATGTTGCATAAGGTATATATTTGCTCTGAGACATTTTTAACTATACTTTCTTTTTACAACTTCATAGTGAAGGATGTTAAGAACATTAATGGTGCTTCGGGTTTAAATAAAAAGCTGAGTGTGGATGGGCACTCCTTTAATTTCAGCACTAAGGAGGCAGAGGCAGGCCAATCATTGCCTGTCCGAACTACATAGTGAGTTCCAGCTCAGCTAGAGCTAAATAACAAGACTCTGCCTTCAGTGAAATGAAATATAATTTTCACATGCACATAAATACTGAAGAGTCATGTGACCATCAACGTCAATATGAGGTGAGTGTACAATGAATATGTGCTACATGCACACTATGAAAGCCATAAAGAAAAATGGAATAATGGATTTTTGCAGGTAAAAGGAGAGAACTAGAAAAGATACTGAGGTACGCCAGGCTACAAAGACAAAGGTCACATGATCTCTCCCATATGTGGTTGGTTCCTAGCTCCAAATTGTCAGATGTCAGGAGTATATAACTTGGAATAACCATTGAAACCAGGAAAGTAAAAGGTTTCCTGTGGGTGGGGAGTGGGGAGCTATAGCAGAGAACAAATGACATGAAAAGAAAATTGGGAAAAAATGGAGGAGCCTTAGGGAGGATGAAGAAGGCTAATGCAGGAGAGGGGAGGAGGAGGGAAACATAGCACTAAGAATGTTTGAAAGCTATAAGGAATCATATTATTCCTACCCAAAATTACATGCAATATAATTAAGTGTATATGTGTATATACATATACATATATACATATATAGTTTAAATAGAGTTAGTTCAGCCATGGGCTAAAAATGCTTCCAAGAGCCACAGACTATATCTTACAAAAACACAGCACCAACCTTTTGAGTCCTTGGTCAGAATGCACTCCCAAATACCATAGGCCATTGGTGCTGCTGTTAGTTGCCTCACAGAGGTTGAAGGTGAGTCCCCTATTGCTGAAGATACCATGCTGTTTGGAAACAGAACTTGGAGGCTCAAAACTGGGTATAACTGAAAGGCCCTCCCTAAGGATTAACTTTAATATTCTGGAAGGTGCTAAGCAAGCTGCCAAAGGGTAGGGGATATGTGTGTCCTGTGGAGCAAAAGTCACACCCAGCTGTGCAGCCTACAAATCACAATGGCCAACATAACAAGATTTCTCTAGAGGTGCAATAGTGGTACTTATATCTGGTGACAACAACAGTTCTCTAGTTGGATTAAAGACGTACTCAACAAGAGTGAAATCATACCTGGTACCTGAAACCTAGTCAACAAACAACATGAGGTTAGTGAGGTCTTAGAGCTTAGAGGCATATCTACTACCACCATGTTCCCAAACCAGAATATTTCCTAACTGAATTCTAACATTGTTAATACTTACCTTTAGACAAGCAGGTAAATGTAGCACCCAACTCTCACTAAAGAAGCTTCTGTTTGCAACAGATGGAGACCATTACAGAGAGCCACAAGCCATCAAAATGCAGATCCCAACAACTGATCGGGGAGTGCCCAGATTTAATGGATAGATATTCCACAATACAAGGACTGCACTTAAGGCCCAGGAAACACACCAGAGGAAGGGCTAGATAGACTTAAGAACCAGAGACATCCCCTCCAAAAAAAAAATCTATTGTAAAATTGTGTCTCCTAGAAACAGGAAAGCTTCACCAATGTTAGCCCAACAATGTAGCTTCCTAATCTTGACCTGAACAAGAAAAACAAACTCCACTAACACTGCTAATGTTGATGGGGGACATCTCAAGGAGTCCCACTCTTATAAAAACGAACTACAGGCAACTAAGGGATGCTGAGAGTAGAAGTCTTCCCCCAAGAAGGAGTCCCCAAACTGGTTATTCAACATCAAACCACCAGCCCTGAAATAATGTCCATACAACACCAAACGGACTCAGTAGGTTGAATTTAGATATTTACGCATACATATATATGTACATATGTAAGCAACCAAAGAAAGAGAGATCAGGAAACTCAGAGCACATGAGGAAATGGAGGGTGGGAAGAGTTGGAGTTATAAAAGGGAATGGAGGGAAACTGTGTAATTATATTTTGAATTAATAAATGAAAAAATCAAACTGAATTTTAGGTGATGGCTTTCAGTTACGTATAAAGGATGAGGGGGCATTTGATCATTGTTAAGATGTCGATCCAGACTTAAAACTTAGGAAGATGTGTGGGAAAAAGATTGCACGGGGGCGGCTCGACCCCTGCAACAGCAGCCAGCAGGCCGGCTGCGGCGGAGGGGCACGGCAGCAGCGGAGGTGGCCAGTGGGCAACGGAGTCCCAGGGGTTTCCCACTGGCAGGTTCCCACATACACGAGAAAGTCTAGGGTTCCAAAAGCTGGAAGCTTGTTGGCGGCGGGCACAGAAGACACGTGGAGTCCGTGGAAGAAGTTTATTGTCCATGCTGTGAAAGTGCGCCCTTTCATGTGCGTGCACGTCCCACGCCCCAAATGCCAGGAGGAGCTCTCTTATATGGGGAGTGGGAAAGAGGAGGGACAGGGGAGGAATAATTTAATTATCTACGCCCCCAGCCTTTAGATAACTCCTGTTAGTTACGCCCTCTACCTGTGTCTTCCGTGACTGACAGTAGAGGTTAAATGGAGATTAGACCGTGTGTCAAGGCCCTGGGTTCTGGGGGCATGGTTAAACACCTGCCGTCTTGGGGTTCCAGGCCCACAAACCAAGATGCCCTCTTACAGTCCGACAGAGATGCAGAAGAGGGATGCCACTAAAGGCCTATTACCTCAAATGTAGTACTTTAAATCAGTTCACTTTTTACTCTTGTGAAGCCAGGGGACAACCTATTTAATTGAGAGTCTCAAAGTTCCATGGTGGTTAGTGGCATATTAGCATGGCAGTCAGCCCTAGCTTGGTTCTACAACAGTGGCAGAGGCTGGAGAGAAAAAAAAGTCACTCCACTTAAGTGTACATGCCGACCCATTTTCAGGAGGGGACACAGACCAGAGGAGAAGCTGACTGGATGTGACCGTCCACACTCAACTGAGAAGTCCATGCTTTTAACACAGTCTATGCCACACATTCAGACCATTTTTGGCATGCTCACCTTGCGACAGTCTATCACAGAGTACCCCACCCTCCATGGATTTCTAAGAAAAGTGCATAAGACATTAAACTGAATTGAAAATAAAATTGTACTAAAAAAAATACATTTCTTAATCCTCTGCACACAGGTAAAAGGATCTGAACACACTGGTCCTTCGGGAGAGTCCATCTGGTGCTTTCTGAAGTAGGAAATGGGAAATCAAAGCAGTAACTTAAGCCCTCCAAACTCAACACTTCTGGGTCCGCATGGCTTTCAAAGAACTAACACCAATGCTTTTCAACTGACTCCACAAAAATTGATAAGGAAAGAACATCATCAAACTCTTTATCGAATCAGCATTACCTTGATTCACAAGCCACAAAAACATGTAAGAAAAAAAACCAAACCAATCTCCCTGATGATAGCAGGTAAAGAACTTCTCAATCAAATATTCTCCAAATTCAAGAACACATCAGGAAGATCAATCATGCTCAAGTTGGCTTTATATCAGAGGTGCAATGTTGGTTCAAAACAGGCAAATCAATATGTGCGGAATATCAACAGGCAAATCAATATGTGCGGAATATCAGTAAAGTGGACTAAAGAACAGAGCTCACAGGTCATCCCTTTCCATATCTTTCCATATCTATTGTCCCCGATAGATACAAAAAAGGTTTTCTGGCAAAACCTAGGATCTATTAATACAAGAAGCCCTGTAGACACTATAACTTGAAAGGACATATCTTAACATAATAAAATCTATGTACCTCAGAACTGTAGCCAGCATTTAGGAAACGGAGAGAAATTCAAAGCACCACCCCTAAAATCAGAAACTAAACAAGGTGTCTGTTCTGTCCACTCATCGAATCTAGTACCAGGATTCTTGTTAGAACAAAACAAAAGGAAAGAAATAGCAGAAAACAAAAAGGAAAAAAAGACATCCAAGAGACCTCATTTGCATATTTGCATATGACATGGCTTCACACAGAAGCGACCCTAAGACCCTACCTGAAGTCTGAGAGGTGAGAAACACTTTCTTCAAAGTGATAGAATATGAAATTAGCAGTTGTCTTCCAAATCACCAATGGCCAACACATTGTCAAAGTAATCCAGAACGCAACCCCAATAACAACTGCCTCAAAAAAAGAAATACTTTAGATTAAAGCTCACCATGTGGCCAGAAAAGAACTCTATAATGAAGTTGTTTTGTTTTTTTAACACTGAAGAAAAACATTGAAGGGGACACTAGGAAATGGTAGAAATGCCCATAGAACTGACAACTGCAATTTGAAGTTCCTGTATCCTCACCTAGAAATATTTACGTTAAACTCATCCTATTAGGTCAGCAGCTCAATGTCTCTGTTCCTGCCCCAGGTCGGAAATCTCACTCTCAGGAAAACAATACACTGCCACATGGATGGTATCAGTAGAGCCCCACCACCACCCTTCAGTCCATTACAGATCTCAGCCACCAGTCCTACCAGCGGCCAAAGAAAAATAGAAGGCTCTGAGGCTGGAGAGATGGCTGCTCTTCCAGAGGAACTGAGTTCAATTCCCGGCACCCACATGATGGCTCACAACCATCTGTAATTCTAGTTCTAGGGGATTCAATGTTCTCCCCTGGCCTCCATGGTCACTATATGTGTGTGGTGCACAAACATACATGGCATACAGGCAAAAACCCATACACATAAAATAAAAACAGAAGGACCCAAATCTATTAGCTTATGTTATGAAAGGATATGAGAAAAAGAGGAAGAATCCTTTTAAAGACCAGGAGGAAAGTTAGAAAATATTCTCTGCATAGACTATTGATTGCTTAAAATACAGACCTGAGAGAGGGGCTTCTTCATGACACAGTTTATGCCCCCAATGAAGACCATGTTAGGCATGATGGGCCTGGGGTAGTCGAACACAAAGTCCCCTCGGAACAGCCACACCGATGCATGGCTGAGAACCTCCACTAACGACACTTCTCTCTCCAAAAGCTCAGAGGCGAGGCTTTCATAGGGAGTGAATGAGAAATGGCAAATGTACTTCAAGGTCAGAGGGTACAACATGTTCTTGACCCTTTGCAGGAAGCTCATGTGGTCGGAAAGCATTGTGAGTAGGTTTGGAATATATGAGGAAGGGTTTGGACATTGTGTGGCCTCATAGTCTATGCTACAGGGAATGTATCGTAGAAAGAACACAGCAGGAATGCCCAAGTACTTAGCCAACACTGCCCCACACGGAACCACAGGATCTGTTAAGACTACATCAAAGGAACTTGAGTTCAGATGCCGGAGCAGGGGCTCGTTGTGCAATAGATTTGTACAAGTCTTTAAGAGAACTGCCGATATGTTTTTCAAAGCCTCGGAGGATTTAAAGAATGTCTCCACATTGTTTCCTGTGTCAAAGACCACTTTAAGGTTTCTCATCATTTGTTGGTTAAATTCTTGTCTTGTATGTGGAGCTGCATAGGTTTTGAGGGTGAAGAAGTCCTCTCCTTTGATGTGCATGGTCACCTCTGGAGCCAGGACCACAGACTGATGACCTCGGGCATGAAGTTCCCTCACAACATCCCGCATGCTCAGCCAGTGACTGCCATCTGCGGGAACCACCAGAACCTTCCCACCCTGAGCCCAGGGCAGGGCAGAGAGCAGGAGCAGCCCTGCTAATCCTTGCAGGGGCAAATGGAGTCCCATCGTCACCTCAGTGGATGCCCACAAGAACAGGTTTCCTCACCAGGCTATGACCCTGGCATTTGTCTCTTCCTCCTCTTACCTCCCATCCACCCTTGCCATGTCATTGGGTGACATCGGCTCTCAGACATTAATTATTAAAAGACTAATGATTAATCTTTAATCATTAATTAATGGTGCCTGCTCAATCCTGCTTCAAACCAACACATTACTGATCGTGTTGTTTCTCTCCTAGAAAACTGTGACAGAACACTCTCTTTGACACTGTAGTTCATATCTGGCTTTCCTCCATTTAAAGACAAGGCTCTGTACATCCATTTCATTCTGGACCTCCAGTAGGCTATGTGATCAAGCTTCCTTAAGATTATCGCCTGCTCCAACTGCTGATAGGACAGAGTCTCCAAGAACCACACGGACTATATAATTTGTGAGCCCCCATGTTCAGATCTCAAGATCAAGAAAGCCAATATGTGACTCAGGTGCCGAAAAACTCCAGGAGGCTGGTCCTACCCCATGGTGCTACCCTCCTGGGTGGTAAGTAGATTGTGGTCATCTGTGATTATGTGTCCAGGCTCCCTGAGGTGTCCCTCATTCCACTTTACTGCAGCTCTGCCTCCCTTCTTAACTTGATTCTTTGGAGAAAATTTGCCTAATTAAGACATTTACACTGAAAACAGATTCAACCACTGAGCAGACGTATGCATACAGACCACTTTCTGTGTACCTCCAACTCATACTGTGCAAAACCTCCTTTGTATTTTATTCTTTATTGAAGTTTAACATTTTGATTTTCTTGCCTCCTCTTCCAAAAGCAACTTCAGTTCTCTCCCTCCCCACTCTTTCCCTTTTTCTCTCTAGCTCTTCCCTCTGCCCCAGTCACTTCTGTGCCTGTTATCCGAAAGGCTCAATTTTTGCACTTCTGCACATGAGTCAGAGCACATCCATAGGCTTCTAATGAGACCAATACAACATGACCAAAGTCTAGGTTGTGGCCACGCATGTCCATTGCAATGGTCACAATAATGACAAAGTGGTTGAGGCAGCTGACCAAGAAATCAGAACTTAGAACTTATGTTTCCTATTCCAGAATGTTACTGTTGGCATTAAAAAAAAATGCTGACAACAACTCATCCACTGAGGTAGGGAGCCACTTCCTGGAGGTGGGATGCCACTCCTCTATCTAGATTTGGGTTGCATCTTGTGTGCACCCACAGCTGCACTAAAAACCTTTGGGAAAGCACATCAAGACAGTGCTGCTGTTCCCTCTACCTCAGTGCATCTGTTGTGAATTTACTTCTCTCTCTCTCTCTCTCTCTCTCTCTCTCTCTCTCTCTCTCTCTCTCT